CACACACACACACACACACACACACACACACACACACACACACACACTTATGATGGATGAAGTTCCAAAACAATCATGGCAGTGACACCACTATTGACGTGTTGCTGGACCCAGTGGAGGGAAGGGAGACACGGGAGAACCAGAACCAGGACTGAGAGGGGCAGACTGTCAGACCCTGCTGCAGTAGAATGAGAGGTTTTCTAAAGGGAGTCTGGTGCTCAGAGACACTACCACTTTAGTCCACAGGGGGCGCCAGAATCAAGACTAAATGACAGTTCCTGGTAGTAACTTAAAGTAAAACAGGTTTCAGCTCATAAACGTCGTAGAGTTTAGCTGCCAGGTGAAACTTGTCAACACATCTAACGTGAATCTATCAAACCTCCAATCACGAGACATGTCGCTAATACTAACACTGACTAACGTCAGTTAGTTTAGCATAATCCGATATGTCCCTCACATTATAAACTGTATATATTAGTACTTTCACACAGAACGTAAACATTTCGTGGCGAAAAAGCGTCAATTTCTTTTTTTCTTAACGCGGTCGACGAATCACGTTGTGAGGAACGGACATATTCAAAACGAGGCAAACTTTATTAATCCTTTCAATCAAGACAAAGGCTCCTTCTGTTCTTACCTTTCACAATAAAAACCCCAGATATATACACAGATTCACTGGGTAACTTAAGAGTTTACCAGCTGAGACATTTCTTCAGTGTTTTCATGGTGCAACCTTGATGAGTGAATCTCGAGTTTAAACCAGAACTCAGGGAGGATTTATGACGAGCTGAGACTTTAACCACAGACCTCATGTGCCTTGCTCAAGGTGCTGACTCATCAACTCACCGAGCACTCTGAACATCATGTACTGAACCCCGACTGCAAAAGACTTGTCCTCCGTGGGCACCGTCCTGCAGCGGAGACACAAACAGCAACAAAAAGAAACATAAATCAATTTAATGTGAACACACGGATATGAAACACGCGTGTGTTGATCTCTGTGGCCTCGATTTTCTCTTTAACATTTATATAAAATAAATAATATAATATATATAAGTCGTGCTCCATGCAAGTTGAATTTCTTTGATAACTTCTTTTGCAAAAATTGGAAAACAATGGAATCTATAAATGCAACATGTGTCCTTCAGAGTTACCAGCGTTGGAAGAGGAACGGCGGCTCCACGTGTTGTAAATATTGAACCATTCTGATTTTTACAGCCTCTGTTTTATCAGCAGTTCAGCTGTTTTACGTGACTGTTGGTCTCAGCCGAGTCAATCATGGCTTCACAGTTTAATTCTGATGGTTTTTACAGAATCTAGTTATTGTAAACGGGGTTTTTTTGTGACGAAATTTCAAATGAGACACGAAGAATAAAGTGTTTTTGATGAAATATCACAATTCTGAGCTGCGATTTGGCTCCTTTTACTGACAGAAGCGTTTGTCACAAATGATGTGTTTAAGGACTGTCGGAAAGATGAAAATCCGACAATAATGTCTGTTTTTACAGCTACTGTTGCAATAAATTATGCATTTTTGGTGATTTTTTAAAAGCAAACATACTTTTCTCATCTATTTAAAGCTGCTTGTGACTGTGATTAGTTCTGTTGTTCCTCACAGTTACGTCGTCTCTCTTCTTCATATTGTAATTGATTTTATTGTTTCTGTTTCTACCATGTAAAGTGCCTTTGAGTGTTGTACAAAATAAATGGATTATTATCATTTATGTTACCATTTGATTCCTCTGTGCTGCTGTTCACCATCAGCACCAATGTTTATAATGTTTATAATGTTTCATGACTGGACTCCTGATGATCGTTTCAACTCGTTTCTGCTTCACTAACGTTTCTTTTCTCTGTTGTTATTTGTATGTTTGGTGTTGAATCCCAAAGTAAAGTAATCGAGTTACTTTAGTGTTGAGATATCTGAACTCTACATTATTAAACAGGTCATGAGTAGTTTTATAAGTAGCTCACTAAAAATGATGAATTCCATCCATCAGATAAACAATCCACCACGTTCACTCGTTCATCGGACCAAATTCATCGGATTAATATCTGTTGTATATTTGCTGTTGATCGTTGATTAATCTGTAGATTATTCTTCCTGCAGTGTGAAACATCACACAGCTGATGTGCTCACGTGTATTCGATTTATTTTGTGTTTGAATCTCAGCAGTCTGGTTGTCCTGCTTTAAACCCTCAGATTAAACCTTCTGTTTAACGTCACGGTGGAGACAACAGGGAAGCTGTGGAGCTAAACCAGGTGACCGACTGAGCCTGTGGCCTCTTTAAGCAGCAGTTTCTGTTTATCAGACGAGGCTCAGGTGAGCCTGGAGCTCAGGCGACTGTGATCTGGGTTGAGGAAAGACTACAAACCTCCCCCAACGTTTTCCTTTCTGCTCCATCTGGGATTCATTTCAACGATTCGCAGACTTTTAATGTGTGCGTTTCATTTTCACACTGAAAGCTCCAGGCTCTGTTTTTGGTCAAATAATCATTGTGACTTTATACATGAAGGTGTTTGTCACATAGCTCCATACCTACAACAAGTAATGCACCAACATTTGGATATAACCCACAAAATCTATTTCTATTTAGAAAGAAGAAGATTGACCGACGCCACGTAGTGAGGAGGTTAAACACCAGACCATCTTTATTAAACCTAACTAAGTATTTCACCATCTTTATTAAACCTAACTAAGTATTTCATGATGTTTATTAAACCTAACTAAGTATTTCATGATGTTTATTAAACCTAACTAAGTATTTCATGATGTTTATTAAACCTAACTCAGTATTTCATGATGTTTATTAAACCTAACTAAGTATTTCACCATCTTTATTAAACCTAACTCAGTATTTCATGATGTTTATTAAACCTAACTCAGTATTTCATGATGTTTTCCTGACCCTAAGTGAGTTGTTTCCTGTGAAGACGGATGTTTAGTAGCTTTTTATAGATAAGATCAGATTCGTTTTTACTCTGATTTACTCATAAAGTACTACACGGTAAATATATTTGTCAGTGAATCATAAACATCTGAAGATTTAATTGTGGAAGTTGTTTCAGTCGCTTCACTATTTTCTGACTTTTTCTTTTGTTTACATTGCGCTTTGGTTTTTAATAGGAATCTATGGTGGCCACCAGTTTCAGACCTTTGTTAAACCCGTCTTACCTGAGTATCATCATGTAGGACGGCGTCTTACCTGAGTATCATCATGTAGGACGGCGTCTGGGAGAAGGAGGCGATGAAGCTGGTGACACCGAGCAGCGCCACGAAGGGGAGGAGGAGCCCGGAGCATCCGCTGCCGCAGGTTCCTGGAGCAGCGGAGCCGAGACCGGCGACACACCGACACTCAGCGTAGTTCTGCACAGACGGACAGACGGGGTCAACAAACACCATCCTGATCTGATCTGAGAGTCTCATTAGGGGCGGAGGGTTTGTCCTGATGGTGGCACTACAGGATGGATCATGAAATGATAACGGGTTCATCCTCTGGAGACGTTTCATTCAAAACTCAGCTGTTGAGATATTGTTCTCTGAACTGAAACACGTGACAAAGGAAGATTGTAGATAAGTGACCATATCTGGACTGAGGAGGAGTGACGTAGAGACACCGTGTACGTCTCTGGTAGAGACCTGTCAATCACCGTGTAGCCCCGCCCTAAAGCATCCCCTGCTTCATGGTCTGTTTGACTCTAAATGGACCATAATGTACTAAATGAACATCATGCTGTATTGAAGAAGACTTGAAACTAGAGATTGAGACCATAAACTCATGTTTACAATGTTTACTGAGGTAATAAATCAAGAGAGAAGTAGAGTCATTTTCTCATAGACTTCTATACAAAGTGTGTTTGATGAGTAGAATTCAGCTCTCGTTTCAGGTGAAATGAATATTCTTTGCTTCCAGGGAAAACAAACATGACGTCCCACGATTGTTTCACCGCTTGTGGGTGAGGAAGTTGCGGTTCCTCATTTACTCAAACCCTCTTGGAGTCTTTTCTCCTGGGAAGCCTCATGAAAACATGTTGGAGTTGGAGAGAGTTAAGTAAAAACCAACAGAGCAAGACTTCATCCAGCTGTCCTCTGGCTGAACAACATCTCGCTCTCTCTACTTTCTGTCTTCAGAGGATTTCTATCAGTATGATTATTTAAAAATGATGAATCTACAACAACACCTCACTTTAACAGTGAGGTGTTCGATCGGTCAAACAAACGTGATGTCACTTTCTGTACATCTGGTCATCTGGTCATGCTGCTATTAAGATAAAGATACCGTGACAGGAAGCGAGCTTTCAGTTTCACTTTCTGATGTTGCAGATGTTGTGCAGCCTGAACTTTATACTGATATTGAAAAGTGGACTTTTTTTATTTAAACTTTTTCATGTTTGACTGTGAAATGAAAGTCAGTCAACAAAACCACCGGACGGCATTGACAAGATAAAATGCACCCGTCAGAAGACACCTTCCCAATGGTTGCCATGTCTGTCCTGTTCTTCTAGAGAGTTGCTAAAGATGAAAGTGAAGTCATCTGGTTCTCTGATGATATCTATCCATCCATCTATCTATCCATCCGTCCGTCCGTCTATCTATCCATCCATCCATCTATCCATCCGTCCATCTATCCATCCATCCATCCATCTTTACATCTAGTTAAATAGTTTTCCTGAACTTTACCCTAACTGAGGGTTACACAGAATGCTTTGTTCACTTCACATATGAATATTTTCTGTTCTCACTCAAGACTTCAAAAAAAAAAAACAAGTACGTTCAGGGAATAAGAATAAGTTGGAATGCAAACAAACTGAGAACAGGGTGAGACTGTGGGAGAGAGATGAGATGAAGAGAGAGAATATAGTTTGTATCTGGAGGAAGAGAAGACCAGAGTCTCTGTTTCCTGCAGCTCTTAATGAGACGACAGAGAGTTCAGCACAAGAGGTGATGTCATCCACTTTACCAACAAACACTCACTAAATGGAAACACACAAACACAAAGCTGACTGGTTTCTGCACAGCACATGAGTTTACAGTAACAGCATGAAATGTTTACATTCTAAAGTAAAGTGATGACATGATTCTTACTGTGGCATTGTTCGGATCTGTTGCTATGGTGATACAGCCAGCATGGCAGGGAGACCTGAACTCAACACCATCAGAACCACAGACCGGGTTAAAGGCCTCCTGAGGACACCGACAGCCAGAGCTGCATGGCAACACAGCAGTGCTGGAAACACACACACACACACACACACACACACACACACACACACACACACACACACACACACACACACACACACATTATCAAACTTTGAAGTTTTAAAGGCATGTAGTTACACAATCTTACAAATTAGTTCCCTATAAATGGTGATGTTGGTCCTGTGTTAGTTGTGAAATTTGTTCCCTGTCAGAGTTGAAATTAATTCCCTGACTGGTGGAATTAGGTCATTGACGGTAGTGAAATTAGTTTCAGGTCAATAGTGGAATTAGTTCCCTTACAGCAGAGAAGTTAGTTCCCTGTCCATTTTGAAATGAGCTCATTGTCAATAGTGGAATTAGTGTCCTGTCAGTGGTGTAATTAGTCTCATATAAATAGTCAAATTTGTTTGCTGCCAGTGATACAATTAGTTCCCTGAAAGTGGTGAAATTAGTTCCCTCTCAATAGTGAAATTAGTTAACTGTCAATAGGGGTTAAATTACCTTCCTGCCAGTGGTGAAATGAGTTCCCTTACAGTGGTGGAATTCGTTTTCTGTCAGTGGTGAAATTAGTTCCTTGGTTGAAGGGAAATTAGTTCCCTTACAGTCGTTAAATTGTTCCAGATCAGTAGTGAAATTGGCTTCCTGTCAATAGGTAAATTAGTTCCCTTACATTGTCATTGGGGATATTAATTCCCTGTCATTGGGGAAATTATTTTCCGGTCATTCTCCTGTAAATAGTGAAATTAGTTTGCTACCAGTGATGCAATTAGTTCCCTGGGGAAATTTGTTCGCCGTTAGTGTTCAAGTTAGTTCCCTGTCAATAGTAAAATGCGTTGCCTGTTACTGGTTAAATTACCTTCCTGTCAGTGGTAGAATTAGTCTCCTGTAAATAGTGAAATTTATTTTCTGTTATTGGGGAAATTTGTTCCCTTTCAGCTTTGAAATTAGTTCCCCGTTAGTGTTCGAATTAGTGCCATTTCAGTGGTGAAATGACTTCCCTTTAATAGGTCAAATCAGGCCTTTGTGTACTTCGTGTATGTAAAGCAATGGTGTAGCTACCTGGCAGGAAAGACCCCTGCGATCTTCTGGGTGGGACATCCAATGAACAACAGCGGTGTTGAGGATAACATGCAGAGCAGGATGGCAGCAGTGCACAACTTGCTGGCACCGCTGACCGAAAGATTCAACCGTCGCATCAGAACTCCACCCAGGACGGTGCCGAGCACTGCCAGCGGGATACAAACTCCCCCTTGAAGAAGAAGAAATCTGTTTGATAACACTGAATACTTCTATAACACATATAATGTATCCAGAACTGACAAAACCTCACCTATCATCATGGTGGAAAAGGAGACAGTCTGGCTGAACTGTCTCTCAATGAACTTGGCCATGAAGGTGGCGAGGCCGGCCAGCAGCGCCGCCAGGTTGACCTGCGCCAGAACCACCAGCAGGTAGATGGGGCTCCGCAGGGTTCGCAGAGCGATACGAGGAAAACCTGAAGGACAGCAATGTGGATGAGGTCTGATGGACGGAGACATCTACACCTAAAGGGTCATTATTTGAAGAAATCTTAAAGTGCAGATGTGAAAGCAAGAGCTGCTGTTGCGTCTTGATTTAGCATTGATGTTAAAACACTGCATGTAGTCGCAGTGACCTCTGTTCACTGTCGATGCCCTTTAGTTGCCTCCGCTGCAGCCTCATCAGACAGGAAACAGAAGAGGAAAAGAAGACTTACTTTTGAGGAACTGAAGGAGAGAGATTTCCTGGACCGGGTTTGTCTGCTGCTGCTGCTTGCTGTCCGGTCTGGACTCCACAACGTCGTCGTCGCCGCTGTCCTGGACAAATATGGAAGCAGAAACATCACATGCTGGCTTCAAACACCACTCAGTCTGCAGTCGCTGCTGCTTATAGGAAATCAGCTGGAGGCCCTGCATGCTGGGAAAGTTTACACTCAGGGGCTCTGTGAGCACCTTTAGATAAACGTGTCCTCTGAATGGCATGCGAGTGCTATGTGGTCTGTGTTAGGACGTCCAGAGATGTACATCAAACTTAGTTGGATAAACACATTGGTTTTAAAGTTGAGACATGAGATAACTTTTCATCCTGACCTGGTGGTCTACGGAAGAAATCTTGTCTTTAGTTTATTGTCTAGATTTTAACCTCTGATAGAAGACAGCCGAGCCTCAAGGTGAAGCTCTTTGTTTATCAGTCGATCTACGTGAGGGTTCATCCACCAGGGATGGTACGTAACCTATAGAGGGTCAATGCAGCCAAACCCACAATATAGTTCTTCTCATTTACATATTCAGACACCTGAACGAGTATGAAATGTGAGAAATGTTGACCAGCAGTCGATACAAAACAACTTTATGATCAATGTGTCTGCTAAAGAACAGACGCTCGGCTTCTGAAACTTCTTGTGGATGTTGAAACTGTGACCAGACTCTGAAACTGACCTGGGGTCACAACACTGTGATTTAAAACTCCGTCTGTCCTTTTATAAACCATAAGAAATGTGTGGAACCAGTTTGCTTTCTCTTCTAAACACCTTCTCAGCGTCTCAGTGCTCAGTTTGAGGAGGAGTTTTGGCTCCAACACAAAATCAAACCTTCCACTGCAAACGTTTCCTGTAAGAGATGAAGAGATGGTGCCAGCAGATTGCTCAACACCATGTTGTATCTGACACGCCTCCCTGCGTTTAAACACAAACAGCAGCCAAAGTCCAGAGTCTTATCTGGCAGCTGAGTGAAGCCAAACTTCAGTCACTTTCAATTCTATTATCATTGCGCAAGAGAGAGTTTTTACTTAATATCTTCAGTAAGGATGTAAAAACAAGGCTATAAGTTTAATACACTTTTTAGACATAATTTAGATCATTAAATGATAATTTTTGTAGAATGAAAGCAAGTAAACTACATTGAACCCCAAAACAGACTAAGAGAACGTGTGAAGAAACATTTAAAGAGAGATTGTTTCCTCACTTCTGTCTGTAGAGTGTGTCGGGTTTGATCTTAATCTGAGAGATATGTGAAACATGTAGCAGTCTGGAGGTCATTATGAACAATACAAACACAGAAGTAGACGTAGTCGTTGTTGGTTTGTGGACGTTGTAGAGACGCCGTATACGTCTCTGGTAGAGACCTGTCAATCACCGTGTAGCCCCGCCCTAAAGCATCCCCTGCTTTATGGTCTGTGTGACTCTAAATGGACCATAATGTACTAAATGAACATCATGCTGTATTGAAGAAGACTTGAAACTAGAGATTGAGACCATAAACTCATGAACTCCAACAGTGTGATACATTCAGAGCATCAGGTGTTGAAAGAAGTCAGCAGTTAGTTAACATCAGCAGTACTCAGTGTTGGTGTACAAGAGCTCAAACATCTGGAAGTGTAACGTCCTCTATCTGAGATGAAATGTGTTTAAAAGTGAAAGTGCTGGAGTTTGGCTTCAGCCTGATGTTTTGTGACTTTAGAAGGAAACTGTTGAGCAATCACCTTGTTTCGTTTTTAAAACATGTGCAGAGTTGAACTTTGCTTCAGAGACTGAGCCAAAAGCAACAAAACACATTCCTGTTACAACGTGTTGAGCTGACTGGAGTTCAGTTCATGAGCATCTTTTAAAAATATTTCATCTTAATCATCTTTGATCAAATGTTGTTATTCTGACCCTGGTCTGTTTTTATCTTGTTGAAAAACACATTTACTGACATTTGTTTGGACATAACCAGCTGACTTCTATATAAACTATCACATGGTTTCAACAATAAGGTCTAAAGGTTGTAATCTTTATACAGAATATACTTCCTGCTTCCTCTCACCTCTTTGGAGATGCTCCTGGGGAAGAAGAGGTACGGCAGCGCTGTGAGGAAGAGGAGGCAGGCTGCCACCAGGAAGCCGAGCCACCAGGCTCCCACCCAGCGTAAGTCCTCATGGGTCAACTTGATCTGGGCTGGAAGAAGAAGAAGAAGAAGAAGAAGAAGAAGAAGAGAATGTGACCGATCACAATCAGCTATAAAAAAATAAAAAACAGAACAAAGAGGAATGAAGAGCCAACGTCAGTTATTCAACATTAAATGATGAATCGTATTTGTGTATCTCTGCAATAATAATGCCAGAGTTGTAAATGACTCTTATAAAGTTTTGTTAATAAGGAGACTTTCTCCCGTAAACCTTTATTTTACCAGATCCTTATAAGATACTTGCAAGCTTGCAAAGTGTCTTTTTTATGTTTTGGATATCTTATTTTGAAGCCCTTCTGGCACAAGTAGATGCAAATATCATCTGAGAGTTGGTGACGTGATTTTGCATTGAAGAAGTCAGAAAATTGACGGAAGGAAAATGTGTTCGTAAGATCTTCCTCTGCAATATAAAGGTTATATTATGAATGATTGTGCACAAGTATGATGTATTTCACTGCTTTATCAACGAGTTAAGTGACATTTGACTTCAATTAACCTGTAAAAAGCTGGTTGAAGTTATTAATATTGCAACAGGATGCTAATGTTAGCTTAAAGGAAATGGCTAAATTGACACGCTGTAATGTGATGCTAATGCTAGCTTTATAGCCTTTGATATATGTGAGAACATTGTTTGATTAACGCCCACATGTAAAGTTTAATGGCATCTGATGAATGTTTATGCTCGTGTGGGCTCATGTGTGTTTGTATCTGCAGCTCTCACGGTGGTTTCTGAAGATGTGAAGGGAAGGAAAGTAAAAATACGGTCGATGGTTCAACATCAATAAACGCTTCTGGAAACATCTGTAAGCTTCACCGTTGTCCGGCTGGGCTTCGCTACACCAATCAAATATCAATAAATTAGTTATTAATTAAACATTATTCAACGCTTGAAATTCAGCAAACTTCTCTTTCTTGTGAAATCTTACTTGCCAAGTTTTATTGATTGTATCAGAACCAGCATGACGCTGCCGCAAATCATCAAAACTACACACTAACCATGACCACCTGGTTCAGCTTCATGGCTGACATCTCTGATCTATAACCTCTGCAGGACGACTTCAGGAGCCCGAACATGTCGAAGAATATCAAACAGAGTTTAGTACCGGTCCCTGACAGAACAAGGGCCTGATTGTCACGGGGCATGAGCAGGACTCAAGCGCAGACAGTCAGATGCAGTGAGAAAAGGGTTTTAATGAATAATGAACACAACAGGAATCCAAGGACGAGATAAGAGACGAGGGGGGAAATCCGGCGGGACGAGGCAGGGCAGACAGACGTGGGAAACCGGGAACAGAACGAGACAAACGGGCGGGTAGAACACAAACAGTGACCTGGCAGTGAGTGACTGAGAGACAGGGGTTTGAACAGGTGGCTTGAACAGGTGAGGGGAGTTGTGCTGATGAGGAGGGAGTGACTGACAGGTAGCGTGAGGAGGGTGAAGCTACACAAAAGACACAGAACACACAAGGCAAAGCCTGATCGTGACACTAATTATTGAAAATAAAAGGAACAAGGAACAACAACAGCATTACGCAGCATAAACGTAACAACTTGTAACTTCAACATTTTTGCACCTCAGGTTCCCTCATCTCAAAGTCAATGTGCTTTGTTTATTTTTGTGTTTGTGTCACCTGATAAATACAACATTTCTCTCCTTTAGCTCTGTTTTTGGTCTCCTCCACCTCCTGAGGGATATCTGTCTCTTTTAGCTGCTAAATGATGGATTTTCTTTCATGTGACCTGAATAAATTAATCTTAAAAGTATGCTGGGTTAAAAACAATGTTGCAAGAGAACAGGGCAGCATCACTGCTACACCTCAACAGGTCTGACTGCACTTAATCCGGTTTGCATTACACAATGTACCTCAGGTATAATTTTCTCTTTGTATTGTGTTTGTAACCTGATCTGTAGTTTGTTTCCCAACTTGAAGTAAAGCTTCTATAAGATGTTGCTGCAGATTTGAACAGACAAAGCTGCAGAACATCTTTTCATTAATGACGAAACAATTGGTTGAGTGATTGTGTCAGCTCTAATTCAAACATTTAACTGTTGTTTCGCTGTTTAAATAACATTTTAGAGAAGAGTATGAACATTTGAAGTGTCAGCGAAACCTTTTAAATACATAAATCTAATCTGCGTCAGTGAGAAGATGTGGCCTTCTCTGAACATACTTCAGTTCTTATGAAGTTTGATGTCTGCAGCAAAGCTCAACATCAGCCAATAAAACAACATGCTGACTGTTAATGAGTCACATAACACTTCAGCAATAAAATACTGGTTTTTATGCAGTACAAAGGCCAACTGATTACTTCTGGACACACCCATACACAAACATTAGCCCTTGTGGGGACCTGAACTAGCATATGCATTACAAGGACCCTTATGCTAACTTTAAAAAAAAGTTAAGTTACTTGTTTAATTGTAACCTCAAGCCTTAAACTTCCTAATCGCAATCCTCAAACAGCCCTTTGAAGAAGACCAGACAATGTCCCCACAATTCAAACTGTCCTCACTCTCCAGGTCAAGGTCCCCAAATTCCTCACACAGCTAGATGTACACACACACACACCTCAAAACGGGTGCATTATGAAACAAAACAACCCCCTACATATACATATTATACATGCATGCATGAACACATAGAAACAGCTACACACACATACACCCGCACACATGCTGACTCACACAATCCGGTCACACATCCCACATGGTAGAAAAGAAAAATAGTTTTTTGTTTAAACAAGGCTCAAAAGAAAGTCAAGCTCCATTAATCCGAGAGGCGTGACGGCGTCTGGAGCATCTGAGTTTCACGGATCAGCAAACTCATCCTGAAACAGGAGTCGAGGTCAAATGATGCGACCAGAAACGCTCCGATGATTCTGCTCAGATTACCGATATTCATCTTCTCTCCACAGAAATAATAACTGTGAGAGTTTAACGAGCTGAAACACAATGTTTCTACGATGTCGGACATCTGAAGGTATTGGACAGTGATTCGCTTGTTAGCTTTTAGCTACTTTGAGAAAACATTTGTAGTTTATAAAAATGTCTCCAATTTTCAACAGTAACAAAAACAATCATCTTTAATATTTGATAAAACTATCCGTTCTCACGCCTATCTTGTCCTACGGTTGGTCAGCTGCATATGCAAATGAGTAATTATCTAATTTGAATACATTTCCAGAACATAAATCTGAACTTTGGATACATTTTGTTGACATACCAAAGTCAAAGGTTTTTACAGAGGGACATTTGGATATCCATAAATAATAAAATGCGGTCAACAGGCTATAATAATCTATTACCTCCATGTTTTTATTATTAATAAATGTATAAATGAGTGTGTGAGTGATGTGTGAACAAACCCCTCTGTGTTAACCTTCAGCACATAGAGAGGAATGAAAGGCATTACTGAGGCGTTATCTTTCGGTGAATTTAGTAGACATCTACAGTCTGAAAGGAGAAGTGTTAGATGACCAGTGCAGCCCGTAGAGTCTCCCGTTAACCAACGCAGTGACGTACCACAGACACTTTATGTAAAGTTCTGTTACTGAAACATAACTGCAGGGTTTCACTTGTAACGATACTTGACACTGAATAATAATAAGAATTAGTATTATATAATTAGTACAATAATAATAAGAATAATAATGAACAATAATTATAATAATCACAAGAATAATGATAATAATCATATTAGTATAATAATAATACTAAACAATAATAATTATGATATTATTAATACATTAATAATAATTAGTATTATGATATTATTAGTATAATAGTGAAAATAATAAACAAGTATAATAATTAATAAAAGCTGACCCCAAATCTCAAATCCATCATTATTTAAATAATTTGACAGCAGATGTTCACAGAGGTCACAGCTGCCGAACGTCACTTTATATATTTATATTTATAGAAATATATATATATATACTAGTGCTGGGCAAGTTAACGCATTAATTTCGCGTTAACGCATTCATTAATTAACGCCGACAATTATTTTATCGCGCGTTAACGCATTTTTAAAATTTATTATGATTTATTTATTTATTTTTTATTTTTATTGAAAGACAAGAGACAATACATAGACATAACAACAAGAGGATGACAAGAACAGTGGGATAAAAGCCAGCAAACATCCTATAGTCAGTAGTGTTAGTGCACCTATATGCTGACATTCACGGTAAACGCATTTAAACGGCACAGATCGGGAGCGAGCGAAGGACTTTGAAAGTTAGCGGAAAGATTAACGTGAGACAACATCCGGTTTCTTCAGACGAACATCCGGTTTTCAGAATAAGATGCCAACAAAGTATGAATTATATTCACATTAAGTATAAAACATGCTGCCTGCATCTCGTGAACCAAATGTTATTGCCCTTTTGTTCATATAGCAGTACTTTTAAAATAAAAGTGCGCAATACACTACTTTTGAATTCATTATTGAACTTTGCCATAACAATGCGATTAATCGCGATTAGATATTTTAATCGTTGCCCAGCACTAATTTTTACTTCTCAGAAGTCGCTGCTGCATGCAGGAACCCC